ATTGCCGAACAGTATTGACCTTATCCTGCCGGCCAGCAACAGCTAAGCAAACCGGGTCGGTACCCAGGATGCCGCTGAGTGTCGGAAAAGGATTTCCCCATTTCGGCTGTATTGCATATGCTAAGGACGATTCGTACAGTCCATCGGTCTTTGTGCTAGGACCATACATCTCTTGCATGATGTGGGTTTGTGGCGTGGCTTGATTGAACAAGTTGAACAGTGTAACGCCGTCGGACGTAGGAAGCAACTTGACTGCGGACAGTCCCCCTCCGACAGTCCCCCGTCCATACTAATGCAGCCTCCCACACATAATCTACACACTAAGCTTTAGTCCCCACCTAATTTAGATGAGGGGCCGCGCTAGCCCTATACACCACATTATAAGAAACTTCAAGTTCGAATAAAATCCTCTCACTTTATTAATTTCGAAGTAGTTATTTACGACGATATAATAATTGAAGTTTATTATAAATAACTTAAAGGCAATATAATAATAGTAGACGAAGGGCCTATATCGTAAATATTTATTATTAATATATATAATAGAATAAGATAGAGCTAAGCTTAAAAATCTTAAATTTATATATATAGTTAATTATAAATTTAAAGTTACTACGCTCTTTAATTAGATCGACTAAGTTATTATAAATAAATAAATTAATATTCGCAATTATTAAAAAAATGTAATCGGATAGCTCGAATTAAAAAATAAGTATATATTATTTAATTTTAGAATAACTTTTTTATTTTCTATTAAAATTTTAAGATTTTTTTTTTAAATTATAAAACGCAATATGGGCTTTTAGAAAAAAAAAGAATTCTTAAATTTAGTCTTATAATTATTAAAGCGCAAGAATTCAAATATCGCTCATTAAAGATCGCTTACTAAAGTTCGCTTATTAAAAATCGCTTATCTATTTACTCGATAGTTCTAATTTAAAAAATAATTATAAATTTAATTTATAGACCTTTACTCGTTAAATTATATTATTAGCTATATATATTAAAACTCGCTAATATATATAAGAGTGTTAGTAATAAGTTACTTACTTATCTTCTTTCTAGAATATTATTATAGATAGATCGCCGAGCTTAACGAGAAGACTAATATCGAATAGTCTTATAGATAGCTGAAATATCTATATTTCTTCTATATCTTTATATTCTATTTAAGTTTAACTATTAAGACTATTCGTATTACTTATCTTCTTTTATTTATTATAAATATTATTTAGTATACTGCGGTCGTTATAAATAAAAAGAAACGTACTTTCGCTACTTTCTTAGTTATCTATAAGCGTTCTTCTATTAGCGATAAGATCTTTTCTAATAAGAATACTATAATTCTATAGCCTTTCTAGAATTATAATAAAAGTTATCGCTAAAAATCTATATTATAAGATCTTTCTTACTCGTTAAGATATAATATTCTATTTAAATATTTATATTATAATATAAAAGAAATATCGATAATATATTTATTAGTTAGATATTTACTATATTAAGATCTATACTAAGTCGAGTAACTACGAGTATTCGATAAACGCCGAGAGGCAATAAATTGTTTTCTCCGCACTCCGTACTATTATTTCAATTACTATTCTATTACTTTAATAGAATTTAATAAATATAATCTAGATCTATTATATAGAGTTTAATATATTATTTCTTTTATAAAATCGTTTTACGTAATTCTTTTTATAATATAAGAAGATTTAATATACTTTATATCTCTCGCGTATCTTAGAAGTATTATCTCTATTCTTATTAATCTCTTATTTAAAATCTTAATTTTAAATATCTTTATAATATATAAGATATACTCGAATAGTCTTTAAGTTTTATTAATTATTATTAGTATATATAAAAGAATAAGATAGAGCTAAGCTAGAAAATCTTAAATTTATATATATAGTTAATTATAAATTCGAGATTATTACGCCTTTTAACTAGACCGACTAAATTAGCTCGATAGCCCTTTCGAGCTTTCTTATTAAAAATTTATATATAAAAGTCTTATACTTTAAAGTACTTAGCTTGCGATATATATAGTTACTTTATAATTGTTTAAATTATAGAGCTCGCTTTACGCTTTCTAACGCTATAAAAATTATAAAATTTAGTCTACTATTAATCGATTAAATAAATATTTAAATATAATAATTATAATAGTTATATTAGACGCGTTTAGTATCGAATAATAATTCTTTTATCTATTTATATAACTATTCTTCTTTTATTATTTTATTAATTTTATTAATTTTATTAATATAAATATAATAGTCTTCGATATTCCTCGTCTAAAGATTACTTAATATTTCAGATATATATACTTCTATTATCCGCCTCTTAGAGTCTTTATTAATATTCTTAAACTATTTTTAATAAATTCGCTATTATTAATAATTAAGACTATAAGCGAGTTTAATAGCTATTTACTACTACTTATAAATATATTAGAAAATTCTTAAAGAGCTTAAACGAATATATTTTTCTCTATATACTTCTTTTAAGCTCGTAATAATATCTTTTAACTTAGTAATATTATCTTTTAAAACGCGTTTTCCTTCTCTACTCGTTCTTTATTACTCTATTTTAAAGTCTTTTAACACGTATTAGATTCTAAATATTATTAAGAAGAAGCTTCTAAAAATATAATAATTATATTAGACGTATTTAAGATTTATTCTTACTATATTAAGAAGTAAGAGAAGAAATTATAATAGATAAATATAGAGAATATTACGAAGAATACTGCGAAGAATACTATAAAGAATACTACGAAGAAATTAAGCGATAATAAAATGATCATTATTAAGAATATAACTTAGCTCTTTAAGATTTCACGTTATATTAGTTATTTACTTAGTTAGTTACTTAGCTAGCTACTTAATCTAATACTCTATAAAAGAAGAAGTAAGAGAAGAAACTATAATAGATAAATGCGAAGAATACTACGGAGAAATTAAGCGGTAATAAGACTATTATTATTAAAAATACGGCTTAGCTCTCTAAGATCTCACGTTATATACTCTCTACGATTCTATATTAAATTATTACTTAGTAAGCGAAGAATATTATTATAATTTAGTCTATTATTCTTACTATATTAAAGAGTAAGAGGAGAAATTATAATAGATAAATGCGGAGAATACTACGAAGAATACTATAAAGAATATTACGAAGAAACTAAGCGATAATAAGATTATTATTATTAAGAATACGACTTAGCTCTTTAATATTCCACGTTATATAGTCTTTACGATTCTATATTAAATTATTACTTAATAAGCGAAGAATATTACTATAACTTAGTCTATTATTTCTATTATATTAATATAATATATTACTATAATAACGTTATAAGAGAAGAATCTACTATTATAGTTAATTAGACCTCTATAGAAGATATATCGAACGATATATATTTAAATAAATTAAAATCGTTCGATATCTATAGCTATTTTATTATTCGAAGAATTTTACTATAATAGAAGATATTATAGAATTCACATTATTAATTAATATATTATCTCTATTTCTTTCTAATATTTTAATACTTCTTATTATAGAGATATAGTCTTTCTCTATTTTTTATAAATAATTATTACGAATTAATTCTTTATACTTAATATATCTTTCTAATTAGACCTTAGCGCGCCTCTCTTTATATATATATATTTATATATTATATAGATTAAATTAATTTTATAATAATAAAAGTAGATTAAAAACGTATAGTAAGCGATTAGAGTTCGATTTAACTTAGAAGAATTTGACTCTATAAATTTAATTTATAGGCCTTTACTTATTATCTTATAATATCTTTAATAGTATAGAAATAGAGAAGAGATTTAATTTTATTTAATAGATATTATTAAAGAATTAATATTATTAATTTTTTAATAGTTATAAATAGTAGAAAAGTATAAGATATCTATATAGAATATTAATAAGAATCGCGAGAATTTTAAATAGAGATATATAAATTAATATTATTTTAAAGTATTTTCTAAATAATAATAGTCTATATAAAGCTAAATATAGTATATAAAATAAGAAATAGATTACTTAAAAGATAACTAATAGCTATTTAATACTTAATTATTATTAATTAATACTCTAAAAATAATAAAATACGCTAAAGAAGATTATTACGTTTTTTAAGAAATATCTATCTCTTATTAATTTTTATATCTTTTTTTACTACTTTAAGACTTAATCTAATTTATTTTTATTAGAAATAAATAGAGTAGTAATTTAAGATATATTAAATTATTAATAGTAGAGTTATTTAATAATTAAAATAAAGCAGCTATTGAATGTGGGGGAAGAATCTCGGTTAAGTTTGTTGCCTCGGCGTCGGCGTTTATCGGATAGCCGGTAGGCTGCATTAGTATGGACGGGGGACTGTCGGAGGGGGACTGTCCGCAGTCAAGTTGATTGAAATGCATCAAGAATCCACCCAGAGCATCAAACGCGGTAATAGTATTATATTCAGCAGGTGCTAAGGTGCTTACATTGATAGTATGTAGAGTGTTTAGCTATCTTACATGCTCAGAGCTCTCTCTAGTTAGAAAACAGCAGAACAGTGTTGTGTCTGACCAAGCCCTGCAGCGCTAATCTCGAGCTCAGAGACTCGATAACATGCCATGAGTTTATCGCGGCCACGATCTCGGGAGGCGTTGCTCTGATTGGCTCAGTTAGAAATTGTAGTATGGAAAGGCATAAAAAGTGGCGTACTTCTGAGTATCGTAGGCAATACATATAGATACTCTTAGGTGCAGAGTAAAGCTGAAGAGTAAGGTGGAGTATTAGAGATGTCTCTGCACAAGTCGGCGAAAGGGTCATGATGACATGCAATTTCCTATGAACCTTTCTATGCTGTATCTGCAGAGCAGATACCAACCGATGCTTTATTGCCTATGATTATGTCTCCATAAGCTAGAGCCTATGCAACGACCGGGCAATGTCTCGACTCAGCAGAGCCCGCCTGCCCGCTAACGACCTCCGTGCTCGGCGATCTCCTTCTCCAGTTCCTCCAACATCGTCTTCCGCTTAAGTGCGATACCCCAATCCAGGATATTATATATATCTTTGCGAAATTCCGTCAGATGACCTTTATCAGACATCAAATAGCCACGGACAAGGTTCATATGATAGATGTGGGTTTCGTTGGGCCGGCGTTCGTACCAGTGAACGTGAATGTTAGCCATTTGTGGGACCCAGCTGCAGGTGAATGTGAAGGAATCAAAATCGGCACCGAGATTCTCTTGTTTTATCACGTTCGCCTGCGGGGCTGGTGGGATGGTGTTAACTGTACCGTCCGCAGCGATAAACGAAGTATCGCTCGCAGTAGCGTCGTTGACGATGGCAGTGTCGGTAACAACAGTACTACTGTCCGCAGCATCATCTTTTGGTCGAATAAGCTCGAGGTTACGTTTGGCCTTGCGTTTAAGGGCCCTATTCGCTGCGACCATCGTAGCTCCAGACCGCATGGACTGATTCTCGGCGGCTTCAATACTGTGCTGAGAGCCTTTGTTGTCTATCGAAAAGAAGGGATGTCGTATCTCCGGCGCGACACCTATGAGATTTTTTGCTTCAATGTCTAGGGGCGGTCCAACGAGAGAGGGGTGGCGCGAGCGTTTGAGTCCATAGACGAAGTCGGGTTTCGGAGTGGTGACTCCTTGCTGAGCGGCTTCTGCATATTCCGTGCGGAGAGGCATAATATTCTTAACGAAGAGACAGTCTTCGCGTCGGTCGAGACCGTCATCTGTGAACGCTTGGGCTTGAGAAACGATCTCTTCTGCGAAGGTGCGCTTTTTGGTGGCCACTTTTCTCGCAGATTTAAGAAGCTGTGGGATTAATCCAGCGAAATATGTCTTCTTATCCTTGGTCGCATTCTCCGCCCTCCAAGCATGGATCTTCTTAACCGACTCGTCGCGCATCTTTGAGTCCCTGTTTCCAAAAACGAGCTCATCTACGCGGGCTTGAAGGTCTGGATACTTTCCATAGGCAGTTTCGTGATCGAAAAACATTCCTTGCTCTGCTGAAGCAGCGCGTACGCTGCTTTCGTTGATTGTTTGCTTGATATCGGAGGAGGAGGAAGTGTCGGTGATAGGGCGAGAGACAGCTTCGTATGAGAGCTTGCTGGCGTCCGTTTGCGGGGTCGTAAAAGCCTTGCGGAGAGAGTCGCGTCAGCGTAGTAACAGAGTGAGTCGAGAACGCTCACTTTAAATTTCTTGTTGCGTCCCTTCGAGTCCGATGAGGAAGGCGTTCTGAACATGTTGGGTGATATTTCAGCAATGGCTTGATCAGTGAGATGACCACAAATTTGTGGAGGGCCAGAAAGGTCATTAAGTCTCTTGCGTTGGTTGGTTGGGGTGATTGGGGTTTGAGAAACGTCAGGTACCTCAGATAGCCAGGCGGCAATGGTTGGACAATTACTCTCACTCATGGGTGTTGAAGTAAGTAGAAACGTGGAAGACCGAAGATGCAAGTGAGAAAGAAACCATGAAGGCCTTGGAAGAGTGAAGTTGATGTAAACATATTCCTTCATCCGCCAACAACCTAGATTACAGCTTCACGGAGAATCGTTTCTCCGCCACCGCCAAGAATATAGAATCGAGAATCGTGCTTTTAGAGTATTCTCGCTGTGTCCAGACATCCAAATCACAGAATCTATTACTTTACTTCTTTAGAGATCTGCACGTCTTTTCTTTCGAAGTCTTCAAAGGACTCTCGGCTCTAGCAGTCTTTGCCGCACAATCCATCTACGAGTTATCTACAGCTATCGGTATCCAAAGAGAGGAGAGCAGCTGATTGAGCTGCGCTAAAAGGAGTAGTGCAGGAAATGGGGTAACACTGCAAGAACTTGGAGCTATGCGTCACGTATAAAGGAGAGTAAAGGCTTTGTTGTAATCCGGCATGCAGTTACAGAGAGGCTCCCCTATCTGTCCAGATCCATAGACAATACGACATGTGCCATGCTTAGTGCTCCTCTCGTTCTTATGCTGTTGCCCGCTTAACACCACCCTGCTCGCAACAGTAGGACTGTAGGTTATTAGGCCCATTATAAGGCTATAGCGTTGGTGATTATTTAATCAATCGTTCCATCAAAATGCGATATATGATAGTAGAGAGATAGATAGCTATGACGAGTATTATTTACATAGCTACTATATTAATAATTAGCTCTTTATTTAAATTATTCTTCTCTAGAATTATATTATTTCTCTTCTTCTTTATAATTAAATTTATATATAAGTAAAAACCTATAAATTAAATTTATAAAGTTGAATTTTTCTAAGTTAAATCGAATTATAGTCTTAGTTCGAAGTTAAATTAAACTCTAATTACTTACTATACGTTTTTAATCTACTTTTATTACTACGAAATTAATAAAAAAGATAAAAGCTTTAATTCTAAGTTAAATTAAACTTTATTTACTTTCTATATAGTATTTAATTTACTTCTATTATTATAAATCGCTAATTAATTATATTCTTATCTAAGAAAGAAGTATATACTTAATAATCTTATTTTTAATATATCTCGCTAGTCGAGTAAATTATCTTCTTAATAAATCGCTTAAAGCTATAATTAATAAATCGATATTATTAATAACTCGATTTAAGATAATATATAATTATCTATAGATAAAGGTTTTAAGATATAGATATAAATTAATATACTATAATAATTAACTCTAAGACTTATTAGTTATTATATTAAAGATTAATTAAATTAGAAATTAAATATATTAAAAGAAAATATATAAATCGTTTAAATTAGATAAAGCTAGAGAGATATATAAGATATAATATTTTTTATTATTATATTTATCTTTAAGAATATTATAATTACTAGTCGAAAAGATATAAGATTTTTTAAACTTAAAATTTTCTTAACTTTTACTTCTTTTCTTTAAAAATTTATATCTTTATAATCTATTTATAAAATCTTATAATTTCTAAAGCTTTAGAACGAGGCTAGTCTATTCTATACGAGACGATTTTAAAATATAATAATTTATATATAAAATATCGAGTGAGATTAGAAATATTCTATATCTTTTAAAATAATATCTCGAAAATTATCTAAATCTTATATTAAATACTATATCTCTTCGATCTCTAATAATAATCGAGTATCTTAAACTTAATATACTAAATTTATAAATATATCTTATTATATAATTTATTTACTATTTTAAATTTCTTAATTAGTATATATAAAGCTAATTATAAATTCGAGTTTATTACGCTCTTTAATTAAGTCGACTAAGTTAGCTCGCTAGCTCTCTCGCGTCTTCTTATTAAAAAAATAGATATACGTTATTTATATATAAAATAACTTTTTTATTTTCTATTAAAAGTTTAAGATTTTTTCTTTAAATTATAGAATATAATCTACGCTTTTAGATAAAAAAAGAATTATTAAATTCAGTCTTAGAATTATTAAAGCGTAAGAAATTCAAATATCGCTTATTGAAAGTTCGCTTATTAAATTTCTCTCGACTGTTAGTAATAGCTCTACGGAGGCTCTACGAAGACTTTATAAAAGCTTTATTTTAGATTTAAATAGAGGTATCTAGCTATTAAGCGTAAATATTCTCGAAATTAAGCTTTTTTAACTAAGTTATTAATAATAATATTTATACTTTATTTTAAATTAATTAATTTAAAAATTAATTAATAATTATTTTAAAATAATATTAATTATTACTTATAGTTAAGAGTAATATATTTAATTTATTAAAAGTTAAAGATTTAAAAATACTTAAATTCTCTATTAAAAATTAAAAATTTTATTTTACTAGAGAATTATTATAAGAGTAAAAGTACTTAGAGTTTATTAATAGATCTCGCTTATATTACTTACTAGATTATAAGCTATATAGCTAAGACGAGTATTTAATATACTTAATAGAAGTTTTAAATACTCGCGAATCTTCTTTTTCTTCTTTTTTCTTTAGTTATTAGTTTATCTAGTAACTAATCTATTTATTTTTATAATTATATATCTAGATCTTATAACTATATAGTTACTACGTAGTTTTATTAAAAGAAATCTTATTATCTTATAATTATTTAGATAATAATTACGTCGAAGATAAGTTTTAAAATTAAATATTTTTAAATAAAACGCTTTAAGATAAAAAGTTTAAATAAATACTTAAGATAAAAAAATCTAAAAATTAATTAAAATAGATATTTAATTTATATACGCTACGACGAGATTATAAATTTAAAATATAATTCTATTTTTATATTATATTAATATAAAAATAAAGCTAAAAATCTTTTACTTAATAATATTATAAGTAAAAATTTTAAAAATAATTTAAAGTCTTATAATAGTAGATATTTAGAAATCTTTAAAGAAGTAAATTTCGAAATATAGAGTATATTATTTTTAAGATTATAAATCTTTCGAGAAATAATTTCTTAGAATATTACGATTTTTATATCGTTTTTAAAGTTTAAGAATAAGTTTTCTAGAGAGAGAGATATTATTAATAGTAGCTCTATAAGAATCTTATATAGACTTTATAGAGCTTTACTTAAGTTTAAATAAAGATATCTAGCTATTAAGCTTAGATACTTTTAGAATTAAGCTTTTTTAACTAAGTTATTAATAATAGTATCTACGCTTTATTTTAAGTCGATTATAGTTAATAATAATCTCGAAGCGATATTAGCTATAGTCGAGAGTAATACGCTTAGTTTATTAAGAATCGAGAGTTTAAGAATACTTAAATTTCTTATTAAAAATTAGAACTTAATTTTTTTAGAGAGTCGCTCGGGTAATAGTCACGCCGAAGGCGGGTTTCGAAGTCGAATATTTTCGAATAGAACGCTCTATATAAATGAGATTTTTAGATAAAACGCTCTATTTTAATAAGGATATTCCGGATAGAACGCTCTAAGGCAAAGTCTAAAAGTAGAGCTCGAGAAAGAACTCTCGAGGCCGATTAAAATAGATTTAAATTTAATTTATATACGCTAAGACGAGGTTATAGACTCGAAATATAGCTCTATTTTTATATTATATCGATATAAAGACGAGGCTAAAGATCTTTTACTTAATAGTCTTATAGAGAAAAGCTTTAGAGATAAATTTAAAGTCTCGTAATAAGTAGATATTTAGAAGTTTTTAGAGAAGTAAACCTCGGAGCATAGAGCATATTATTCTTAAAATCGTAGATTTTTCGAGAAAGAGTTCTTAGAATATCGCGATTTTTATATTATCTTTAAAGCTCGAGAATAAGCTCTTTAGAGAGAAAGGCATTTTTAATAGTAGCCCCTATAAGAGCCCTACGATAGTTCTACGAAGGCTTTACGAAGGCTCTACGAGTAGATATTTAGATCTAAATAAAGATATCTAACTATAAAGCGTAGACATCTTCGAAATTAAGCTTTTTTAGCTAAATTACTAATAATAATATCTACGCTTTATTCTAAATCGATTAAATTAAAAATTAATTAATGACTATCTTAAAGTAAAACTAGTTATAATTAAAAATAATATATTAATCTATTAAGAGTTAAGAATTTAAGAATTCTTAAATCTCTTATTAAAAATTTTGAATTTTTTTTTTAAAAAGTTACTTAAATAATAATTATATTAAAAATAAGTTTCGAAATTAAATATTTTTAAATAGAATATTTTATTTTAATAAAGATATTTTAGATAAAACGCTTTATTTTAATAAGAATATTTTAAGTAAAACGTTTTAGAGTAAAAAGTCTAAGTAGATATTCGAGATAAAAGAAATCTTAAGATTAATTAAAATAGGCTTTTAATTTATATACGCTAAGACGAGATTATAAGCTTAAAATATAATTTAATTTTTATATTATATTAATATAAAGATAGAATTAAAAATCTTTTATATAATAACGAGTAAAGGCCTATGAATTAAACTCATAATCATTTTTTTGATTAGGGCTATCGAGTAAATAGGTGAGCGATCTTTGATAAGCGGGCTGTCCGGCTGTCGAGCGAACTTTGGTAAGCGATATTTGAATTCCTTGCGCTTTAATAATTATAAGACTAAATTTAGAAATTATTTTTTTCTCTAAAAGCCCGCATTTCGTTCTATAATTGAAAAAAAAAATCTTAAAGTTCTAATAGAAAATAAAAAAGTTATTCTAAAATCAAGTAATGTGTATCTATTTTTTAATCAGGGCTATCCGACTATATTTTTTTAATAATTATAAATACTAATTTATTTATTCGCGATAACTTAGTCGATCTAATTAAAGAGCGTAGTAATTCTAAATTTATAATTAACTATATATATAAATTTAAGATTTTTAAGCTTAATTCTATCTTATTCTTTTATTAGTATATATAAAAGAATAAGATAGAGCTAAGCTTAGAAACCTTGAATTTATATATACAGTCAATTATAAATTTAGATCTTATACGCTTTTTAATTAGACCGGCTAAGTCAGCCTAATAGTTCTCCCGCGTTTCTCTTATTAAAAATTTATGTGTAGAAGTTTTATATTTTGAAGTACTCAGCTTGCGATATATATAGTTACTTTATAATTCCTTAAATTATAGAGCTCGCTTTACGCTTTCTAACGTTATAAAAATTATAAAGTTTAGTCTACTATTAGTAAATTAAATAAATATTTAAATATAATAGTTATAATAGTTATATTAGACGCGTTCGAAATCGAATAATAATTCTTTCATCTATTTATATAACTATTATTCTTCTATTATTTTATTAATTCTATTAATTCTATTAATTTCATTAATATAAATATAATCGTCTTCGATATCTCTCGTCTAATTAGAGCCCCTTATTAATATCTCTAGATTATCTCTTAATAAATTCGCTATTACTAGTAATCGAGGCCGTAAGCGAGCTTAATAGCTATCTACTACTACTTATAAACGCGTTAAAAGACTCTTAAAAAGAGCTCGAACGAATACGTCCTTCTTTATATACTTCTTTTAAGTCAGCGATAGATAAGTTAAACTAATATTCAAATATTATAATTATATTAAACGCGTCCGATTTAAATATATATACTTCTTTTACTCGCCTCTTAAAGTCTCTATTAACGCCTCTAAGTTACCTCTTAATAAATTCGCTATTACTAATAATCGAGATCGTAAGCGAGTCTAATACGTTCTCTTCTATATACTTCTTCTAAACTAGCGATAATACCTTTTAACTTAGCGATACTACCTCTTAAAACGCGTCTTCCTTCTCTATTTATTCTTTATTACTCTATTTTAAAGTCTCTTAACGCGTATTAGATTCTAAACATCGTTAAGAAGAAGCTTCTAAAAATATAATAATTATATTAGACGCGTTCGGGATTGAATAATAATCCTTTCACCTATTTATATAATTATTCTTCTTTTACTATTCTATTAATATAAATATATTTATTCTCGATACTCTCGTACTTAGTTAAATAAGAGAAGAATTTATAATAGACGAATATAGAGAATACTACGGAGAAACTAAGCGGTAATAAGATTCTCAGTACTAAGAATACGGCTTAGCTCTTCAAGATTCTACGTTATATACTCTCTACGATTCTATATTAAATTATTATTTAATAAGCGAAGAATATTATTATAACTTAGTTTATTATTTCTACTATATTAAAGAGTAAGAGAAGAAACTATAATAGATAAATATAAAGAATATTACGAAGAAATTAAGCGGTAATAAGACTTCTAGCATTAAGAATACGACTTAGCTCTTTAAGATCTTACGTTATATACTCTCTACGATTTTATATTAAATTATTACTTAGTAAGCGAAGAATATTACTATAACTTAGTCTATTATTCTTACTATATTAAGAAGTAAAAGAAGAAACTATAATAGATAAATACGGAAAATATTACGGAGAAATCAAGCGATAATAAGACTCTTAGCATCAAGAATACGGCTTAGCTCTCTAAGATCCTACGTTATATGCTCTTTACGATTCTATATTAAATTATTACTTAGTAAGCGAAGAATACTACTATAATTTAGTCTATTATCCTTATTATATTAAGAAGTAAAAGAAGAAACTATAATAGATAAATGCGGAGAATACTACGGAGAATACTATGGAGAATACTACGGAGAAATCAAGCGGCAATAAAGTTATCATCGTTAAGAACACGACTTAGCTCTTCAAGATCTCACGTCATATACTCTCCACGATTTTACATTAAATCATCACTTCGAAATAATGCATATTTAGACGAATTGAAATCATCCGATATCTATAGCTATTTCATTATTCGAAAAATTTCACTGCGGTAGAAGATATTATAGGATTCACATCACTAATTAGCACGTTATCTCTATTTCTTTTCAATATTTCGATACTTCTTACTATAAGAATATAGCCTTTCTCTATTTTTTATAAGCAATTATTATACCTTTCTAATTAGACCTTAGCGCGCCTCTCTCTATACATATATATCTATATACTATATAGATTAAATTAATTTTATAGTAATAAAAGTAGGTTAAAAACGTATAGCAAGCGATTAGAGTTCGATTTAACTTAGGGCTAGGGCTAAAATTCGATTTAACTTAGAAAAATCTAACTCTATAAATTTAATTTATAGGTCTTTACTTATATATAATAATTTTATAAATAAAAATTCTAGAAATAATTTAAAGTTTTATAATAGTAAATATTTAAAAATCTTTAAAAAAGTAAATCTCGAAGTATAAGATATATTATTTTTAAGATCGTAAATCTTTCGAGAAGTAAGTTCTCGAAATATTGCGGTTGTTATATTATCTTCGAAGCTTAAGAACGAGTTTTTTAGAGAGAAAGATATTATTAATAATAGTTCTATAGAGACTCTATAAAGGCTTTACGAGAGCTTTATTTTAGATCTAAATAGGGGTATCTAACTATTAAGCGTAGATATCTTCGAAACTAAGCTTTTTTAACTAAGTTACTAATATCGATAGTCTTAATTAAAAAATAAATATACGTTATTCACATATAAAATAACTTTTTTATTTTCTATTAAAATTTTAAGTTTTTTTTTTAAGTATAGAATATAATTTACGCTTTTAAATAAAAAAATAATAATTAAATTTAATCTTATAAATAGTTATAGATAAGAAATTTAAATATCGCTTTTTATAGTTCGCTCGATAGCTTTAATTAAAATATAAGTATATATTTTTAACTTTATAATAACTTTTTTATTTTTTATTTAAATTTAAGAATTTTTTATTTAAATTATAGAATATAATTTACGCTTTTAAATAAATAAAGAATTAGAAAATTTAGTCTTATAAATATTTTAAGATAAAGAATTGAAATATCGTTTATTAAAAATTTATTTATTTTATTATTAAGAATTTTCTTTAATATAAGCTTAGATAGTTAAGTAATAATAATTTTAATAAATTTCAAAAGTAACCCGCTTTATCCTCGATTCGAATTTATAAATCTCTCTCGCTAAAAAATCGTAAAATCGTAAAATCGTAAAAATCGTAAAATTAATAAAAACTCTATAGATTATAAGAATAAAAATAAGAGAAAATAATAAGTATAAACTATAATATATATTAAAATTAACTTCTTATTAATTAAGTTTAAATTAATTTAAAGTTAAATAACTCTTTATAAACTTATTATTAATATAACTTCTCTTTTTTTTATTAAAATTTTTCAATTTTTTTTTTAAATTATAAAACGTAATTTACGCTTTTATATAATTTAAGAATTATTAAATTTAATCTTAAAGTTCTAAGTAAATTTTAAATTAAAGTATTTTTACTCTTCGAGAATTAAATTCAATCTCGAAATTAGATTTAAAAACTAATTACTTTTTATAAATTTAATTTATAAACTTAAACTTGTTATTAAATGATATAATAATCTTAAACTTTTTTAAAGATATTTCTTAAGATATCGATATATAACGCGTTTAATAAGTTTTTATAAAATTTCGTAATATAAGATATAAACTCTTATTTCTAATAATTAAATTTTAATTAAGTTCTTTTTTTTAACTCTAGTCGTATAGTATCGTAAGTTAAGTTCACATATAAAAAAAATAGTACTAGAAGCTAACTTCTCAGTTAATTGTTTTTCTCCTTCGTATATGCATTGCCTAATACCTTAGCGCCGACTGATGCCTCGAAAGAGAGAATGCAATGAGTCTGGCCGAAACCAGTAGAAGATTTTCCGCGGTGGATTCCTCAGATTGGCCCTGGGTGAAGGGAGGAGTTTACCGGTGGTCTTGAAGATTTCGACTTGACAGGCTGTTACTGACAACAGCGCTGAACGGATTATCGCTGGTTCAGGGAGAGCTGGTAATTCTGTAGTGATGATCGGTGATTTCTTCTCTGTGCTCAACCTATTCCGGAAGAATGTCGTCTTTTCAATGGCGTTGGGGATCTCGAGGACTTGCTCGCCCTCGTGCTTTGAGCTGGAAAAGTCTTCATCTCTAACCTGCATTGAAGGTTGCTTTTCGACGTCTACCCTTTCATTGTCCAAGGCGGCTGCCCCCAAGAATCTGCCATTGTCGCACTTGATATGCTTGCCCTCGACATCGTTGTATTTCTCCAGAATATCACCGAGCTTTGATTGGTTTCTCTTGAGTTCATCTGCAGTCGCACTGAGGGCATTTTCGGTCTCTTTCACTTGCTGATGCTCTGCCTGAAGCAATTTCCCGAAATCTCTCGCTTGGCGTTCCAGCAACTTTATGTGATCTGTAGCAACCCCAAGGTCTTCTTGCAGTGTGCAGACCTTCGCCTTGGCAGCAATGAGCTGGTTGTAGGCGACCATACCGTTGTGCTCGGCTAGTCCCAACTCTTCACGAAGTCTGCGTGAGAGTAGGTCCGCAGCCTCCGTCGTCGAGCTCTGGATTGACAAATCCTTCCGCAGCCTGAGGACCTCCGACTCAGCCGCGTCGCAATGTTCATTAGCGATAGTCTCCATTCGCTTCGCCTCGGATACCTCAACACGATGCTGGCGTTCTGTCTCTTCAGCTTTTTGTCTAGCCAAGCTCTCAGCATTCGTCTTAGCCTCCTCAACTTCGAGTGCCTTATCAAGTTCTCGAAATTTTGCTTGATGTACAAAGGCACGTCTTTTCAGCTGACCCATTTCTTGATGAGCAGCTTCAAGTTTCAAAGCGAGCCCTTTTTCTCGCTCGCAGGCGTCGATGAGGCTTTGCCGAAGGACCTCCATAGCGTATACATCATCCATATTCGATAAGGCTTTATAGGTTTCTGTGGCTTGAAGTTTGGTGATGTGACAATTGCAAAACCGAGAATGACTACCAGTATTTCAGATATTGTAGATCTAGCGTCTACTGCACTAACACTTCAACGCTTTGTTCGATTTGAATTTCATTGTTATCTGATTGTCTCATTGCGTCCATCAGGATCCCTTTGTCCGTCTCTCTTGTTGTTGCCATCTCATTGATATGTTATATACCCGTTGATGTCTTTGTGAGACAAACGAAGGAACCCCTTAAAGGATTCATTCCGGAGATGTTGCTTTATCTATTTACAATAAAGGTTTAACTCTAGACCTCGCGCAGAATCCAAAGATCGACGATCATTGAGAAGAGATAATGATGGGGGGTGTTTAAACAGTGCCGTCATATAGCTACCACGGTGGGCCAAACCGGGTAATCAACACTAAGTTCCTCGACTGTGACTGTTGGAATTCACCACCTCAGCCCTTTTATGCTTGGCATGTAATACAAGTAGCACACAAACGCCATAGAAAAAACAACAAGCCGTCATCAAAATTCAATAGTGACCCAGTACACATAGGTAAGTGATACAAAATGAGCGTCAATGCAATCAGAGCGATGATTCGTTGTGCGTAAGAGCAAAGTGGACCGGAAGGTGCTAGGCTACTGAGATATAGTGACATATAATATTGTCGAAAACAGATACTGACGGAACCAGAAAGGTATCTCTTCATAGTATCGATTGTATTAACACATTTTGCTACCCACAGCCTTCAAAAACCGGCTAAATTCGTTTCGCTTTTCTCTCTTCCAATCGACTTCCGGACATCCAGAGAGCTAACGAGATAACAATATACAGTACTCTGTATTCTAATGTTACTTTTCCGTGGATTGATCTGATACATACTCCAGATATGATTAATCCTCATAGTAAATGACTGTGATGCGATGCATTAAATTGGGGGAGTTGAGAGAGAGAGATTTACTGACTGTCTATGATGTTGTTATTGAAGTGAAGACCAGAGACCGCCTATTGCAGAACCTAACTTTTCGCCAGCGCTAAGCAAAATCTCTGGCGTTGAGAACTATCTGCGCACGAAAATCTCCATGTGAGCCTTGATTTGCCCAACCCACCTGTAGCTTCCTTTGCCAAATCTTTGCTCTCCAAAGTCAAAAAGCGAAGAGACATCCGGGTTCCATAAGGGCTACACAGCATTTTTATGGAAGGGTTAAGATTCGAGCGCATGACATTATTGCTTGTCGCTGAAATAGGTCCATGCGTGTGTGCTTTTATCCTTGGCATCAAGCACGAATTAAGGGCTAATTACTAATTCATACCCCGAAACTATGAATCCTTACCGAATCATACCCCTAATTACTTGGGGTATGATTTGGTAATTTGCCATTCATGACAAAAATCGCAAAGGAGAAAATTCGCGACCTGGGCCATCCGACCATAGAAAAGAGGAAATATCTTCGACCGTATTTAATGGGTGACCTACCAGCTTAAATATCAGACGAAAGCCGAGTGGGTGTTAGTAGCAGCTCCCACGGGGGCCCTGCGACGGCCCTACGGGGTCTGGCTGTCAAGCGCAGACACCCCCGGGACCTGGCTTTTTTGCGCTTGACAGCCAGACACCCCTATTTAGACCTAAATAGGGCCCCCGTAGGGCCGTCGCAGGGCCCCCGTGGGGGCTGCTGCTAACAGTGGGCTAAATTTGGCCCCCCAGCCTGTCTACACCCAGTCTGTGACTCTTACACACAGTCTTCACTCCCAATAGTCTACACAGCAAGTTTGGTAAATTACCGAATCATACCCCAAGCAATTAATCCTTACCGAATCATACCCCAAATTTTGGTGTAGGGGTATGATTCAGTAATTAGGGGTATGATTCGGTAAGGATTCATAGTTTCGGGGTATGATTCGGTAATTAGCCGCACGAATTAACGACGGGAGTATCAAGCAGGCCACGTCATTGACAGCCAAGTATGCCAAAACTATGGAGGTACGCACTGAAGACCTGCCTAGATCAGTTGTAAGATTTGCAGTGCTCCCAAATCGGCCCTGATGCCAATGCTATCCGCGGAATAGGGATACTCAACCCTCAGAGGGGATCAGCGCCGGACGTCTTGAAGAACGCTGAGCGCATCGAAACCCATGAAGTAGATAGCACTGTTTCTGAGCTGATGGAAAGTTTGCAAGTCGTGAATGGTACTATCGTCACGGTCGTCGAAGGACATTTACTCGAACTTCCCAGGTCTTATCCATTTTAGACCGAAAGCCTAATAGCAAGTCTCACCAGCGAGAATCTTCGGTTTCTGTGGGCCAAGGAAGAGGGAAGTTCCTACCATTTACTCTTATTCAGTAGGATTTGCAATCTCTAAAACTTAATCCTTATAATTTCTTATTCTATAATACTATAAGTTTAAGCCCATAAATTAATTTTATAAAAAGTAATTAGTTTTTAAATCTAATTTCGAGATTGAATTTAACTCTCGAAGAGTGAAAATAGTTTAAATTAAGATTTACTTAGAACTATAAGATCGAATTTTATAAATTTTAAATTATTAAAAAGTATAAAGTAAGTTTTATAACTAATTAATATAATAATAAAATTTTATTAGAAAAAAGAGAGATTATATTAATAATAAGTTTTTAAAGAGTAAATTAATTTTAAATTAATTTAGATTTAATTAATAAGAAGTTAACTTTAATATCTATTATAATTTATTTTTATTAATTATTTTTATTTTTATTTTTAGAATTTTTAGAATTTTTATTAATTTTACGAATTTTACGATTTTACGATTTTTTAGCAAGAAAGATTTATAAATTCGAATCGAGTACGAAGCGAAATAGTTTCGAGTTTTATTAAAATTATTATTACTCGACTATCTAAGTTTATATTAAAGAATTTTCTTAATAGAGTAAATAACTTTTTAATAAGCGATATTTAAATTCTTTATCTTAAAGTATTTATAAGACTAAATTTTATAATTCTTTTTTTATTTAATAGCGTAAATTACGTAACTTACGTTCTATAATTTTTAAAAAAAATTAATAGAAAATAAAAAAGTTATTTTAAAAAAAAATATATATCTATTTTTTAATTAAAGCTATTAAGCGAACTTTAATAAGTTATATTTAAATTCTTTATATTTAAATATTTATAAGATTAAATTTAATAATTCTTTTTTTATTTAAAAGTCTATATTACGTTCTATAATTAAAAAAAGAATTAAAAAAATTAAATAGAAAATAAAAATGTTATTTTAAAATTAAATAATATTTATTTATTTTTTAATTAAGACTATTAATAAATTTAATAAGCGAATTTTAATAAGCGATATTTAAGATTCTTATTCTTTAAGAACTATAAGACTAAATTTTAGAACTTTTACGTTATTAAAAAGTATAATCTTTACTCTATAATTTAAAAAACTAATCTTAAAGTTTTAATAGAAAATAAAAAAGTTATTTTATATATAAATAACGTATATCTATTTTTTAATAAGAGATCTTAAAAGAATTAGCGAGCTAACTTAATCGTTTTAATTAAAGAGTATAATAACTCTAAATTTATAATTAACTCTATATATAAATTTAAGATTTTTTAACTTAGCTTTATCTTATTCTTTTATTAATATATATAATAAAATAAGATAGAATTAAGCTTAAAAATCTTAAATCTATATATATAATTAATTATAAATTTAAGATTATTATATCTTTTAACTAGATCGACTAAGTTATCGCGAGTAAATAAATTAGCATTTATAATTATTAAAAAAATAGATATACGTTATTAATATATATGTTATAAATTATACTTAGCAGATAGAAGCTAGTAACTAATAGCTTGGCATGCTTGACATTAAGATATATTTAGACAACCAGTTTTCATAGAAGAAGAGTTATCTTTTTTATCATTTAAGAAATATCTTTCTTAGAAAACATCTTTCTTAGAAATAAGATTTCTAAGAATCTTATATTACTTTAATAGTGATAGTAATATCTATATAGCAGCAACTACTATATAATAACTTACTACTAGAAACTAATAGAGTCCTTTATCAAATTAATTCGAAGTCGAGAATCCTTATACTTCTTAAAGTAAAGAATTCTTATACTTCTTAAATAAGACCGAAGAATCTTTATACTTTTTTATCTTCCGCTACTTCTATATATTCGTTAAGCTAACTTTCTATAATATAGTTATTTAAATCTAATAACTACGAGATTTCATTGCCTTCGATTATTAAGTAAGCTCTCTTATTAACGAAACTACGCGAAAGATTATTTAATATCTTATTAAGAATACCTTCAGATCTACTAGACTAGTGTTATTATTATTAAAAAACCAACGAGTATAGTCTTATTCTTCGTTACTCGATTCGCTTTCTTAATAGACTTAATTAGAAAATTAAGTAATTAACTATACTACTCTAAGAATAGCACTTCGTTTCTTTTAAAAATCTACGACTTAGAAACATCGCCTCTTCGATTCTCTATCTATTAATAATACTCTAGAAGTAAAAAAATATATTCCGTCAGAGTAAGTAGATGCCTCGTCTATTAGATCTCTAAATAGTAATTCTTAACTTACTACTAACTTCGACGATCTATAATATCGTTTATTAGAAACTTTAAATATCTCTACTAATAAGACTATTCGCTATTATAATAATAGTAGAATAATAGACGAAGAATTTAAAGTAGATTCTTAAGCTATTGATATAGAAGTAATTATTATTAGTATTATTAATCGCTACATAAGAAATCATCTAAATTTAAAACTCTCTAGCCCGTCAGGTTTATTAGAGAATCTAGAAGATTTAAAAATACTAAGGTAGAATATTGCTAACGAAAGTAATGAAAGTAATAGACCTCGCTTCTTTAGCAGCGATGTCGAATTCTTTAATTCTTTCTATAATAATAAATCTTCTAATATAGTAGTAGATATAGAGTATATTAAGAAAGAAATCTATTTTTGAGATATTATTA